CACACACACACACACACACACACACACACACACACACACACACACACACACACACACACACACACACAATGGGTGCATGATATCAGGAGTACATAATAGGGAAATATTGCTATACGTTCTAATCCAATTTTGCATGTTTCAGACTATTAGCTGATTACAGCGGTGTACTTATATTTATGCCCAACTATTATTTAAGAGTGCTTTTCTCAAAATATCCATAAAAAGAAGTAGTTCTCTATGCAAGCATTTTGAGCATAAAAATGTTTTGATCAGATAGATCCAAGACAAAAGCTTGTTCGATGATTGCATGCCGATGTTTGCATGGGAAAATCGCCCCACGATTTTACGCATTAACATGTACCAGATCCATGTGGCTTCTAAGTATATAAATCTGGTTCGTTAAGGCATACAATTGGTACATAATTATGCCAAATTTTTTATAATTTTGCTAATATATGAAAGTAGGCTTGAGTAAGACGTTATTATTTTATCATTTATTGATGCTAGCTTATGAGGTGTTTAAAAAAAACGGGTTGTTGTATAAAACTACTATCCTGGTTAGTATATCAGGGGTAAAAATTAACTTGTGAACAAGGGAGTCCAACGGACTGCCTGCCCTCAAAAAGAGAGTCCGCAGCAAAATGAGGGAGTCCGCAGTCTGAAGTTCAAAACTAAAGATATTAACAATAACGCATACATGTGCTTATTTTGAAGGTTCATGAGGTTGCACGTCTGCCAAATTTTCTTTGGGCATTTTAATACTGAAACATTTCGCGAGGCCGTGCAATTTTCAGGGAGTCATATGTTATAAGACAATTTGCATATATGTTAAATCAGGGAGTATTTGACTCTGGACTCCTGTTAATTTCGCACCCTGGTGTATGCCATGAGTTTTTTTTTTAACTTGATTAGTACTTTGTTAATCAAAGGGTGAAATTTATTAGCAATTAGATGAAAGTGGTTAGCAAGTATCGCGTTGGCGTTTAAAAAAAAATGTAAATTTGATTATTAAAAAAATGTGGGAATTAAAAATATGAGTTGAAAATTATCTGATTTCCATAAAAATTAAATTCCAGTGAAAAATACAATTGATTCAAAGTTGCAGCCAAAAAATTACCAATTCTCAGATTGTTTTAAATTTGTATGAATTATGATTCGCAAAAAGATAGCTTCCAAAAGTGCGATGCGAACCTGCTCACGGCGTATAATGATCCTAGACTAGACTCATAGAAATGATATACTAGTTAGACTCTATATATAGTGTCTCTATATATTTCTATGATTAGACTAGACTAGAATAGGTGCTGTTGCTGTGCTGCCCGCATATGCTCGAGTAAATTTTAAAGAGCGGTCATGATGGTTTGTTTACATTTTGCGAACTACATTCATCACTTCAGAGCTTATTTGTGCGAAACGCAACGTGTTAAAGAACTGGTAATGTGTCAACGACCATTTATGACCGTTTTTCGTTGGGGGAATGTAGTTTTAACTGAACGACGTTCAGTTAACTCTAGATACGTAAATAATCTATGATATCATATGGGTATAGAGAAATAATTTTACAGTAACACAATCTTAGCCTCCGTAATGGCGTGTGTGCGTGTGCGTGTGCGTGCGCGTGCGCGTGCGTGCGTGTGTGTGTGCGTGCGTGCGCGCGCGCGTGCGTGCGTGTGTGGGTATGTGCGTGCGTGTGTGTGACCGTTTGTGAACGTGTACATGTCTCCGTAGTCATTCTAGATGTATTTCTGGAGTCTACAAGTCATTCTACTTGTAAAAATGCTTGTAAATGAAAGAGTTTTTTTTCTTGCCATAGCCTTAGTGGTGCCAGGTAACAAGACACTGCTCACCTATATACCTGACTGGTAGGAAACACATACAAGAAAATGTCATCAGATTTTGAACAGGACTTTGACAAGCCACCTGCACCGCCTGTGCGATTAACAAGCAACAGGTAAGCGCACTAACTGTGACACAAAGTTTTTCTTAGATTACCAACTTGACAGAAAATAAATGGCTGACAGCAGTTGCGTTGAGAGACATTGCCCACGTCTTTGTGGCACTCACCCTTAATACAAAAAAGCAGATTGCATTTGCTTTGGAGGTACTCGGTACGCAGTGAGAGGCACATGGCTTGTCAGCAGTTGCCATGCAAACGTGCCACGTGACTGACGCATGAAGGATGTTGATAATCTGTACTGCTGTGTACTTCACATTTGACATGCTGTTTTGCTTCGTTTTCATTCTCGGAACTCTTCCAGATATAAGTGAACAGGTGTTAGTGGTAGTCTGGTTCACAGGACAGGTCTGTGCAAAATCGGAATTGAATCCGGATCACTGCAATGTTTTTCGTTGCCGGTATTATTCTTTGTGGTTTAATTATCTCAGTTTTTTAGATACCGGCAGGCATGATAACAAATACTAAATGTTGTCAATTGTGCAGTGGGTCCCCATATGAATGTTACCAAAACGAACTGGAACCTTGATACTTTCACACTGACTAGTTTGTGTGGCAATGTACGAAGTTCCTACTGAAAATTACATAGCTGTTGTAGATGGAATAATGAAAATCATGAAAACAGGCCAGACCTTAATTTATAGTAACCCCACCTGCTGAGATCCAATCTCTCCATAACAGATTGCTGTAGTTCTCCTTACCATTAGCCTGCTATAAATACATTTTTGCTTCATGAAACACTAGTTTAGTATATATTCTAACTGTCAGTTCTGGGATTAGATGTCTGCCTAAATATTTGGGCATCTGCCAGAATATAGCAGCTTTGATCTCTCGGTGTTACCATAAAAACCGTTGGTGGAATTATTAGAGATGTGCTTGCAGCTTAACCGGCAGCATTTCACAGCTGCTAAAAGTGGTGTTGGGGACCATTAAAGTTGTATTATTTATTGAGCGGTGCAATGGCTTCTCTTTGGGGGCCTTTACAAGGATGTGCACGTGATTAAAGGAATATTTATGTGCCCTAGATTTATTCATGAAAGGTTTTTATAACTAGGCTTCAATATTTAGTAAGCTACAGTGCGTGGAAACAAATAAGCACTCACTAGCACCTGGAGATTCGGGAAATTTGTACAAACCCCTCTAATTTTCCAATTACATCTACATAGTACATAGACTACATTGACTCTACATAGAGTAAATTTGGCAAATATCAACATACAGATGACTTCAGGTAATCTCCTCTTCTTACAGGCCATACATAAATTATGATATAGGTATGGCTCAATCACTGAATCAGCACGATTTCAATTATCTGTGTTTGAATTTCAGTTGAAGTTGGGGGGTCTTCTCTTCATATTTTGAAACTATGGGTAGAGTGAGTAGTGAGGTATACCACATCTGTTTACACAATACAGCAAACAGTGGATGAACGCCTGGTTATATGCCAAAGAATGGGCAATGACCCCACTCCGTGCGGTTTGCACGTTTGTAATAGTGTTGATATTTCTAAGTGATCCTTTGCTTAGAAAATGTCAGTTAGACGAATTAGTGGTGACCTAGCATCGTAGTGAAGTCTCCTTCATTGCTATAGATGCTAACAACGCCTTAAGTAGGTGATGGCATTTAGCTTCTGGCTATTCACGTGTGAACCCATGAGGTTCCGTGATACATCTGCAGACAGCATATGGCGCGTGCTGAGCGTATTCAGCTTCCATGATTGAAAAAAGACACGTTTATGTTTATACATTGCTCAGCCTGAGTTATAGTGTTTTGCCTTTCGTTTATGTTTATGGATTTTATTGGCTGGCTGAAGCATGCCGGGCGTGCAGTATTTGATCATTTATCAGCGAGGACATGTTTTATGATTCGGTGCTCACGCGTGTATGGTGGACAGCAGCACGTAGGCAAGCAGGCTTCCACAGGCTAGGACACCTGCCGCAGTGTGTGTCGCTGACGTTTGGGAAGGAGTTGAGCTATTTCGTTTCGGCAAGATGGCGTGCAGGGCGCACGCGTAATTATTCGTGGTGGTTTTTGTTAGGATCTGTGTCGCTGTGACTGACTGGAGCTTCTAAGCGCGCGTGTGTGTGTGTGTGTGTGTGTGTTATTGGTCTGTGCATACTCGTGCTACGTTACTGATGGTAGATGACGTATATGTAGCTCATCGTAGCTGTCTGCTGTCTAGAAGTATTGCGTAGTGATCAGACCGGGTGACACAGGAAGTTACGCGAACGTCTTGTGTGGCTAACGTTCGTTCATCGTTCATCATACCTTACTTACTTAAATACCAATTGTTATATCTCCAGGCGAAATGTCTCGTAAAGATATTGTAAGCTGTTGTGAAAGGAGGTATTATTTTGAATTGCGTACGTGCTATGGAGATCAGTCAACGATGTTCGAATTTAGAAGAATATTAGGCAAGATTATCGAGGAATAAGACTAAGAAGAGGGTTGCAAAGGAGCGCATTGTAATTAGGTAACATTTATTTAAGCATAATGTTTTAGCTGTGAGACATCAATTGCATCTTGATTGCATTATTTTGATATTGTCTCCAGTGTCAAAGCAGTGACAAAAATCTCACAAGAGTTGCAGGCTTGCCCGTCGAAAAGTCTCGCTGGGAGAGATCCACACGATGTCTCGGGTTTTGCTGGTGGCTAAATTGGCATGTGAGCTCATGGGCAATTGCGTGCATGTTTATGCAGGGAGTCGAGTTTAGTGCTGTGACGGCGATCCGATACTGTCGGTATGGGCCGGCGCATCACGTGCCGTATGTTAGCAGCCTGGTTTCTTCGCGAAGTCGCTGAATGTTGGCGGCTGTCTGCTGCGGGCGAGCACACGCTTCTATGTACGTCGTGGAAGAAAAAATCCGGGGCATTTAATTTAAACAGCATGGATGGGGAGCACGTGCGCCATCGGCAGAACATACTCTTAACCGTCTAGGCGCGCGCGCGCGGCCTCCCGCCGTGTGCTGCCGAAATAATTTCAATGATATCCGGAGCGATTTCCTGCATCGCGCAGCATCAGCGGGGTGAACTTCCTCCCAGCTGCTTTTCGTTCTCCTGACAACTCCTTCCCTGTGTTTGTTTCTCGACTTGTGATCGACTAGAGCTGCGATATCTAAGGAAGCTAGAGCGGTGCCGGGAGAGATTAGCTCTGTAATGTTCCGGTGTGTTCATCCTCTCGCTGCGCTCTCGCGGGACTGTGACAGCATCCCAATCGACAACCAGCATTACTGTGAAAGATGGGTCGCTACGCTTCCATTATATGTATCGTGTTATATTAGCTGAGTTGGAAGTGGAGGAAATCGTTGCCTCATCTGTAATCGCTGGCTGCTCTCAACGCCCAGGTCCAGTGACTGAACGCTAACGTGATGCAGATGCAAGAACGAGCAGACTTGTGGAAAAGAACTGATGCATGCAGTTGCTTCTCAACAATGAGAGACTCAAGCTATATTATCATGCTCACAACTGGCTTCGTGAAATCGTAGCTTATTCGAACCGTGCCCGCTAGTCTCACGGTGTGACTGTGTGCAACTATTGCCAGTTGACGGTAGGAGTCACGATGCGTGAATGAGTTCAGGTAGATGGAACGCTGTGAACATAGCCTGCCAGAATGGTCAATGAAAGGTTGAATCGTAGAATCACGCTGCTTAGGGTGCGGTCGAGGAACCTTAAGACAGACAAGCACCCACTGGTTATGCTATGTGCGGCATACGTGCTGCTGTTTCGGCTGCTGTACACCTGCTTGGCGGGTGTCATGCGCGTGGCACCACCCCCGTTCCGTGGCTCACCACCCCCACTGCTGCCACCTGGTGGTAACAGGTGAGTACGTGGTAGACCGTTAGAAAGCATGTTTCACTGTGTAAAGAGGTAAGCTTGGTGCAATGGTTTATCCTAATTTATTACTTTTCTGCATGACCTCTTTCGACTATAATAATGGTAATTGCAACTGTACTTGGGTTCGTACAGATGGACTACAAGTTCAGGGTTCTCCCTACGTTGCGCAAACGGGGCGCGCGCGCCCCGTTTGGGAAAACTCCCCCCTGTTTCAATCGTTGCGCCCCGTTTGGGAAAACTCCCCCCTGTTTCAATCGTTGCGCCCCGTTTAAATTACCTCCGCCCCGATTAAATTCCACCACAATAAAAGTTTGTCAGCGCGGGAATCTATCGTCAAGAATTCCCATTCGACCAGGACAACCGGCGCGTGTATTTTTACCGTGCCACGCATGCACTGCAGACAATACACAAGTACAAACAGTCAACCTGTCCCACACCAAACACTAACTGTACACCGACTCGGCTATCTTATATATACAAGAACCCAAAATACCGGCTATGGTGTGGTGGCGATTTTACGCATTAATTAGTGGTACGGTAAAAAAAAAAACACCCCGGACCCGCCTAGTTTTCCCACCCCCTCCCTCCTCTCCCCTCCCCCTTCCTCTCCCCTCCCCCTGTTTGAATTTCATCCTGGGGAGAACCCTGAAGTTATCTGCGAAGATTTCGTAATTAACCTCCCTACATATTTGTTTCCTTTATAAATCATGGCCCGTCATCATCAGTTAGCTGGCGGGTTCACTGAACCGGGGTCGCCTTGTCTCTGAAGGCTGCCCATGCTCGAATTATCTACAGCCATCAAAGTAAGGAGCGAAGATGGATGTAAAGAAGGGCGCGTATTGAATTATCAGTTCTCTCTCAAATCTTGTGTTAGCTTCTTATCACTGCACTTCATCATGCGTTGTACGTCAGTATGTTTGAGCAATAAGTGTGTGTGTGTTGGCATACTGGCTTATGTGTGAATACGTGTATGTGCTAAGGCTCGGCAGACACAGGCAGATGTAAAATGAGGTCCCAGAGACAATTAGGTTGTAATATCCACACATCAATTACCCTATGTGTAAAATTATTGTCAAAATTTCATGATTGAATGACGAAACCAAAAATATAAGCATCATGTGTATCATGTGTATCATGTGTATCATGTGTATCATGTGTAAGATCTAGTGTATATTTTGAAATGTTTGCTTTTCCTAGTTTTCTTTTGCCTAATTGGGTCGCTGACAAAAAAAGCTCAGCTCAGATCAACGGTTTAGTCTTAAAACTACAAGGAGAGTAGCCACTGAAGTGGAAGCTGCCACGTTGCCAAGCTAGCGGTTGCCACAACTACAGTGCAAGCTGTGCTGCTGAGTGCAGTCGACAGGGGCAGTAAGGAATTATGGGCTGTCGTCACGTGGTGTTATCGTGTGTTAACGCTGTTCAGTGGAAAATGCTGCAGAGCAATGCTCCAGACCGATTGAAGTGCTCGGGCACGAACAGGGCTTCATGCACTTGTGGTTCTACCCTGGATCGTCGTGTTACGGGGTCGTCTCTAGTCCAGATGACATGGATCATAGCAGTGAACCAAAGAAGATGTCTCTCGTTTACTTGCTGACACGAAGGTACTCTAAGCTTGGTGAGAGTTTTAACTATATTGCTTAGTTCATCACTGCAGCAAGGCTTCAGACGCACTTCACTGGAAGCTGTGTATGCATCCATCCTGGTTGTAGCATCCGTCGGTTTACTCGTGGCTGGTATTGTTTTTCAGTGTGTCGATATTGTTTTGTAGCCTGTCTGTATATATTTAGGATGGTTGCCGGCTACTGGTGTTCTGTTTCGACACATCTGCCTGTGTTTATATATGTCTGTGTGCCTGTGTATATATGCGTACATGCGTGCGTGCATCTGCGTGGCTGTCCAAGTGCCTGTTGCGGGTGCATGAATATATCTTCCTATTTTTGTGTTTATAGTAAGTATATAAAGCTTGCCTTTATTGCCTTTTTATCGTTAATTGGGTTATTGGCTCATGTGCAGCAGCAATAAACGTAAGTGGTAATGACAATAAATAGATAAAAGCAATAAACTTTATTACAGAAATTGATATTTAATGGGACTTATATTCATTATATTGCAATGTTAAAAGAGAGGAGAGAGGGGGGTGAAAGCATTTGCATATTTTCTGCAGTAATCTGTCACTGCTCCTTCTTGAAATTATTCAAGACCCCTCTCACACATTGCCGTGAGAATTGGCTGGGTATGTTATTAATTAAGATAGCTACTAACTGTGTGAAGAATGATTGTGCAATTTTTACTTTGAAGCAAACATGGTTGGCATGGTTGTTTTCACAAATGCGATTTTCGGTAATTGGGCCAATCTGCAGAAAGATTATTGACTCTTCTTTGGCATCGTCTTGGTTTGTTGTTTGGTGACAATCCTCATTTGAGGGCATAGTTTTTACGCTGTGGCTATATGCCCGGCAGCCGGGCACGGTCTTCGTTTTCCTAAATGCCCGGCAGTTCTTAACCCTAACTCTAACCCTAACCCTAAACGGTAAACCTAACAAAAACCCTAACTCTAGCCCTAAACCTAACCCTAACCCTAATCCTAACTCTAACCCTAACCCTTGTTTACTTGAGATAACGCTAAAAATTAAAAACTGCCGGGCATTTAGGAAATCGAAGACCGTGCCCGGCAGCCGTCAGATATACGCCGGCTGCCGGGCATATAGCCACTGTGTAGTTTTTAATGTGGAAGCTTTTATACATGTTCACCCATCTATGTTTTTGATCACATATGTCAATCTCGCACGATTTCCCCGCCAAGGAGGATGCAATCGATGCATGATTTAATCCTGCTCTCTATCATGCTCCTTTTATTGATTTTTACTATCGGCAAAACGAGCGAGCAAGTCTAATGGATGGGCTTCACAAGCACCCGAGCTTCACTAGCAGTGACTCATACACATCCGCATGCCGCACAGTGTGCTGCGATTCACAGCGTTCCTCTATTATTGCGTCATAGTCAAGCTTGACCAATCAGCACTGCTTCCACTGGCAGTTCCTGTATGAGTCACGACAGCCTGTTTGTATTTGCATTTGCGGTCAACCGATTGGGATTTATATACACTCAACCAGGCAATATGGGGTTTCAGTAGCGCGTGCGAGTTTCACATGTGCGTCGTAGATTTGTAAAAGCAGCTGAGTAGCTGTGTGCCATCCTACATGCATCTGGTGTGCTGCTCCAGCTATTACTTCTGCATATTTCCTCAGTGCAGCAAAGTGCAAGAGACGTGGTGAGTGAACGCCACTACTAGGTCGGGGGGTGCGTGGCCTGGTGCAGTGTAAGAAGTGGAATAAACTTCCTAGGAAGCACACATGATATTGTTTACTGGAGCGGAGTGCGGTCCCATTGGATGTCAGAATGCTAGGTTTTCTTGACAAATAGTGTTGGAACTTGGATCTCTACTTCATCCTATACTGGCCTAGCTGCTGCACCATCAGATGGATCATGTTAATTTTCGGATTGTATATCATGCCATATGCATCGTCCACTTGTCAGTGGGCAACCCATAGCCGGGTGTTATGTGCACACGGTTTTATTTTTCTCTATGCAACATGACATGACTGCCTTAAACATGTGGCTATTGCGTGCTGTTTTGACAGGCATGCCTGTAGATTGATACGGGGCTGAGTGACCATGGCCCTGCCCACTATGCAGGTTGTGTAATTGATGCTATCTCGCACACCTATGTATATGTTCTGACAAAGGTGTTGGGTGGGTCTGCTGCTGAAGATGTCGTACCCAAACTTGGAATCTGCACAATCTCGAGATTGTGCAGCGATTGTGCTGCCCAAACTGCGGATTCCTTAGTTTGGCTGACCAATCTCAAGATTGGGCAAACTGAAAACAGTCGGTGATTCAACAACCGCTCATAGCGAGTGTGTGGTGTGCATGGTGCAAACTAAGAAGAGATTAACTCATATTTACCCAATTATTTATTATAATCATTTAATATCTAGGTGCCAAACACAAAGGAAAGAAGGTATATACGACCTTATAGTTATGATATAACATTTAAAATCCTAATAATCATATGTTTGTGCAAGCTCTGTTTACCTCTGTTTGCCCAATCTCAAGATTGGTTGCACAAACTGTGGATGCGCTGAAATTCCAAGTTTGTGCAAGATTCCAAGTTTGGGCACAACAAAGATACTGCAGCAAACCATTTTAGCACAGAACCTGTAGCGTATCCACTGCCTTTGGCTGTTTTGTTGATAATCTCATTGTCATTGTGGATATATTTGGACAGATACAATAGTGTAACAAAACAAAAGAGTAGGGGTCCTAATTCCTCCTGCTCTGTGTCATGTTACATTATTGTATCTTACATATATGCGATGTACTCGTTCGTAGCTGACAGGTACTCAGAAGTGTGTGATTGTGTGTGTGCGTGCGTGCGTGCGTGCGTGCGTGCGTGCGTGCGTGCGTGCGTGCGTGCGTGCGAGCGTGCTTGCGTGCGTACGTGCGCGCATGCATGCACACTTGTGTGCGTGAGTATGTGTGCGTAGATTTGCTCAGGCTCTAGTCTGGCACTAATCATTTGTTCTGTTCTGCAGGGACCAGCCAAGTGTACCAGTAGACATGAAGCCTTTGCCAAAGGAGCCAGACGGGGAGGACAGCAAAAAGAAAGATAAGAAGCAGAAGACACCTAAAGGTATATAGCCCCCCTAAACTGCACACAGATTGGTATCGCAATTAGTTTAAAATCGGGGGTTACTGAGTAATTAGTTATGACTAAATTTAGTACTATGGTAAAAAATAACAACTAGTATTACGATAGGAGAATGAATTTTCAGAATCGTATCGTAGCATTTCAGCAATTCATGATAACTGAATCTTGTGTTCGTGAGGTCACTGATATGAGTAGAGACGAACTTGCATTTCTGTGGTTTGTCACACATAAATTTCGTGCTGACGTGTCGTAAAGATATGAGGATATTAAACATTTTGGAGATTGTTTTGATATGCAAAAACCAATGTTTACAACAGGTTTTTCATGGGAAAAAATGTGTAGTGCTAACAAATATCAAATCGTTTATCGATAAATCTTTAATCCTACCATTGAAGTTTATTCTATTCAGTGTGTTGTAATAATTACAGGGGAATGCGACAGAGTGGGATGTATATTTATTGTCCAATTTGCTAGGATTCATCCCTGTTGTGAATTAAAGTTACCATCTTTCTGATAACTAGGACAGAAAGTTATAACCAACAATAATATTATGGTTAATCATCGTTGTTACACCTGGAATAGATCGAGACTGAAGATTTAAAAATCTGTAGATGCAATAACAATAGGCGCGTTCACACACAAGAAAAACCGCGATGCTAATCGCGATGAAATACCGAGATAATTGTGTCGTTGTTCACACAGGCGAATAATCGCGCTAATCGCCGAGCGGGTCAATTCTATTAATCGAACTGCGCATGCTCACTGCCGGAATGATGCTCACTGCGCATGCTCACTGCCGGAATGATGCTCACTGCGCATGCTCACTGCCGGAATGATGCTCACTGCGCATGCTCACTGCTCACTCGCTTGGAATGATGGGATAGAAAATACCGGGATTATTTGCGCGAGCGTTCACACACGCAAATAATCGCGCTAATTCTAAAGCGAGCGTTCACACACGCAAATAATCGCGCTAATTCCAAAGCGAGCGTTCACACACACAAATAATCGCGCTAATTCCAAATAATCACAGTCAAAAGTGCGATTTGGAGCGCGATGCTGATCGCGATTATTAGTGAGTATTATTGCGTTCACACTTAATAATCTCGGTATTTCGATCGCGATGCAAAAACCGGGATTTGCATCCCGCTTATTCGCGCCAGTGTGAACGCGCCTATTTATTAGTTAATTTAGATACACTGTGCCTATGAGTAAATGACTCTCCAAAATCTCTAAGATTGTCCAATTCTGTTTAAAAATGGGCAATGGCATATTTAAAAAAGTATAGGCAAGGCTTTGAGCTACGAATCTTGATGCTATTTTAACAGTGTGTCATGTCACCATGTTGCCATACATGTAAACTGGTACTGTAATGGTTTTGGGAGTGTAACTGACACGGTAAGCTCCCATGATGAGCTACTGAACTGATTCTTCATCCAAGTGTTTCAGACCTATTCCGTATAGTGCTCGTCCATGTAGACGTAGCAACATGGGGGGCCATTATCAGAATGATTGTAGAGTTACAAATTAAAGTAGGACTGTGAGAAAATCTACAACTAGTATAGGAATACAGTAAATGGTAGAATGATACAGGAATATTGTAATAGGTACATCAATATAACTATATCTCCTATTGTATCCTATATATTCCTATTGTATATTTTCCAACTCACATTGTTTCAATAAAACTTTGCTACAGGTTATGACATGTTAATCTTTTGAGCAATTTAGCTAGCATTTATCGCTGTCATGACGTTTTTTGGTAGTCTAGGCCAAAAGCAATAGGACTAAGAATAGCTCATTATGACAATGGCTTCCTGTGAAGTGAACCCTACTAATGGCAGAAGTTATTCTTATACACGTAACCGCTTTCTCTGCTGCAGGTAGCAAAAAAGACAAGAAGGAGAATGACCGACCGATCATCTCCTCGCCAACGAACTTTGAGCACACAGTTCATGTGGGATTCGATGCCTGTACTGGGGAATTCACTGTGAGTACTGTAACTCTAGATGTGTGGAGCAATTCACTGTGAGTACTGTAAACCTGGATGTGTGGGGCAGTTCACCCTGAGTACTGTAATCATAGGTGTGTAGCACAGTTCACCATGAGTACTGTAACCATGGCGATGTGTGGGGCAGTTCACTGTGAGTATTGTGACCCTGCATGTGTGGGGCAGTTAATCATGAGGACTAGCACTGGGCATGTGGGATAGTTCACTGTGAGTACTGTAACCCTGCATGTGTGGGGCAGTTAATCATGAGGACTAGCACTGGGCATGTGGGATAGTTCACTGTAAGTACTGTAACCCTGGGTGTGTGGGACTGGGTTAGTTCACTGTAGGTACTGTAACCCTGAGTGTGTGGGTTAGTTCACTACAAGTACTGCAACCCTTGATGTTATGTGGGATCGTTAACTATTAGTATTGTAACCCTGGGTTTGTGGATGTGTTCGCCATATATTTACATTATTACTCTTTGAACCGTGATGTGCTGCTACAAATTGTGTGCATGCCAAATGCAACATCTGCCTTAACAGTGTTGCTAACAATATGAGCCATGCCTTTAATTTGTGCAACAATTTTTGCAGCAACTCGTTATACTCCTGCTACCGAAATAAATGTTGTAACCTCGTAAATATCCTTGAGGGTCTATTCCAATATCAGTGGGTTTAGGCTGTTGCTAGGTTTTGCTTACACGTAAGTAACATGGGCTGCATGTTTATGTACATCATTTGATACTAAACAAATGCCGTTTTTTAGTTATAAGTTACGCGTCCGGTCATCCATTACAAAGCTCGATCAGCACAGATTCTCAAATCCACGTCACGATTAGGCCACGCCCCCTTTCAAATCGTTGATTTTACTGGATTTACTATTGCTTCAAACGTTGCAAAAACACATTTTTTTGATAAAATACCTAAAGGTAAGTAATTTTATGGTAAAAATTTATTGTTTATTGTTTTTTACTGAAAAAAATATAGTTGGGTTCACACAAGAAATATATGACCGGACACGTAGCCTGGGAGCTGGGCGTCTGGTACCTGGACGCGTAGCCACGGCCTATAAGTTATGGCACTACGTTTACATAAAGATCCTCAGCATAAGCACCCTCCAAAATCTACCTGTAGAAGAGGTCTGAGTTTCACCTGGGTTTCTGGTTCGGAAACCAGCATGATTGCTGTCTCAAACCCTACGAGGGGCAATGTCCAAAACCTGGCCAAAAGCACTGTCTAAACCATGATAAGGTCACCCAGCAGGGGGCACTGATCCTACAGTCGGAGTTAGCATCGTAAAGCCATAGAGCACTGCTTGAGATCTGGGCAAGGGTGGCATTCGAGGGTGTGCTGGTTTGTGCTGGTACTTAAACCAGTAACCGGTGTCAGTTAATCGTGTATATGTTTCTTGTACAGGGGTTGCCTGAGTCATGGCTGCGGCTCCTTGAACACTCGGAGATCTCCAAGACGGAGCAGAAGAAGAATCCTCAGGCAGTGCTGGATGTGCTCAACTACTATGACCACTCAAAGAACAGCAAGCCTGAATCAAAGTACATGACAGCTAAACCCTTCAGTGAGTAAAACACTGGCGTGTGTAATCAGTGGTGTTTCATGTAAAGTGTGTTTTTAGCTCATCTGACGTAGTCACATGCAGCTTGTAGAATCGCATGATCGTGCGTCCGTGCGTGCGTGCGTCCGTCCGTCAACAGTTGGTCACAAATCTTAACCGCTCGACGTACGGTCACAATATTCGGGACGTCGGGGGGGGGGATCGTGAAAAGGACTCGGGATGACCAATTTGGGGGGTCAAGATTCAAAGGTCAAGATGTGTAAACGGAGGGGGAATATTTCCCCCTTAACTTAAGGTATAGGAGGAAATGCAGAATTGCGGCACAAATCTTAACGGCTCGACCTATGCTCTTAATATTTGGTGTATAGTGTGATGGGCAGGAAACCCATCACCAGTGCGAAATTGGAGGTCACAGGTCAAAGGGCAGTGGGGGAAAGGTCAGATATCAGACATTTTCTGAGGACATGGCCTAATGGACAGAGTGAAAATCTTTTTTGTTTCAGCACTGACCTACCATTTTTATCACTTTATTGAAAGGACCATGAAATGTGCTTTCCACTGACGTGCGAAGAGTAAGTGTCTGATAACTTTTTGACCCTCAAGAGGAGGGTTAAACATGGATTCCTGAACTGCCTCAATGACGTCACAGTGTTGTCATATTCATGACACATTCATAATCTAGAAACCCAATAAGCCTGGATAGCCGAACGTCTACAGCACAGGCGTCACGCTCAAAGGTCGTTGGATCGAATCCCATCTGATTGTTTATTATTTACCTGTTTTTTGTATTTTGCTATCTCTATCCATTTAACAATTTTTTTCCAATTAACGCAAATATTTACATGATTTATTTACAGCAATTTAATAAAAACAAATAATTTTTACAACAATTAATTTATTTTTATTTTTGAATAGGGCTAGGGTTAGGGTTAGGGTCACAATGCATCATAAAACAGGAGTTTCAGGCACGCGATTTGTATCAAGCAATGGGATTTGGGAGGTATGCAGAATGCAGAAGGTTACTGAAATGATGTGTACGCAACTGTGTATCTGCATATCTGCGCCTAACAAAGGTGTCACTACGCACGACTTAAATGTTACGTTTATAATCGTAGCAACAGACCTCAGATGAGCCAAGACGCTCTGCGGCTCTTGTTATCACTAAACTGTCGTTTCTATCTACTGTTAAAAATCATCCCTGAACCAACTATCATACGCACAGCTGCAGAGGCTATTATATCCGTTGACATCTTTTTATGGTCGTTAGCTAGTTCTGTGATGTCTCCTGGTAAAAAAATACATGTAATGAGAAAAATGTCATCGCTTAAATTCATTAAAAAAGTAATTCCGATATTAACTCTCATCCATTAGCTTTTCATGTGTAAGAAACTTGTCATGTTTTCCTTTTCATTTGCTTCCTGTCCTAGTAAATTCATTTGAATGTGAAACATGTTACAGTTTGTGAATTTGAGAAAAAGCATTATACATGAACGTGGAACATGTAGCATTCCATGTTAATTTTTTAAAATGTTTATGTTTAGTTTCTACGCCCAGGCCGAGTTATCAGACGGACAGATTCGCTAGCAATGCTGTAATGCCCCCTCTGGTGAGTTTCTTGGGAACATTGCACTGCTCTCCTACTATGTAGTGCCTGATGATATATATCACAATAGTTAATTAGTTACATATTTAGTTATTGGCAACTGGTATTTCAAACTTGTGAAAATAATGTGTTGTAGATTGCACCAAATTAAAATCATAAAATTACCAGAAATACGATTTTAATTTCAATTTACAATTTTTGATTTTATTTGATTTTATGATATATAAATTACATTATTTGATATTTTCTGTAATTGCATTTCTCGTGGAATATTTTACCTACTTTTATTTAGCCAACAGCTGATTATAGTAAAATAATGTTGCAATGCATTGTGTCTTAGCCACACCATAAGCGTACTGAGACACCAACACCACCTAGTGCCGAAGAAGAAGAAGAAGATGTGGGACCACCACCACCAATCGCAGCCCGACCTGAAAGAACGAAATCAATAGTATGTTAAAGGAACTTTTTCTTAAATCGAGAAAAATATAGCAAAATATAGTCTCACCTAATAGCGAACATGTTACTGATTACTCCAGTATAAAAGTACCATGAGTTTGTGCTGTTATATTATATATGAAATAGCAAATATTGGAGCTACATTCTTTCGTATCGTGAGAATTCCTTTGAAATTGGGACCCCAACAGACAAAAGTGCATCTCATTAAGTTCCATCACTGTTTCAGTATACGAAGCCTATTGAGCGTGAAAAAGAGAATGAGAGACCCCCAGTGCCTCAGAATGGTGCATTACCCTTGGGAGCAGAGAAGAAGCAAGAAACCAGAGCAAAGAAGAAGAAAATGTCGGATGAGGAAATTTTGGAGAAACTAAGGACAATAGTTAGTGTTGGTGATCCTAATAGGAAATACACAAAGATGGAGAAAATAGGACAGGGGTAAGCTAAGTGAAGTAGAGGTGTGGCATTCAGTAAAGTAAAATGGCGGGAGAGTGTATTGTAATATTATACTACGTATATATTATAATATTCTTCGTAGAATGTTATGTGTTCGATGTAATTTTAAGTGGTTACGTTATATAGAATCCTACATATAATACAGATATGTTAGTAGTTTTTCTTGCTGTTCAGCTAGACACAGCAATATTAATTGCCTCTACCTATAAATGATGCCAAAGGGCCATTTAGAGATTGAATGTTTGAGATCATTAGTTCTGACTAGTGATGTCACGATCATCGATTATACTCGATCATCGGTTGAACAGTGGCTCGAACCAAGCGCTTAGTGATGTCACGATCATCGATTATACTCGATCATCGGTTGAACAGTGGCTCGAACCAAGCGCTTGGTTATCAAAATCCATAATCGATTTCATCGAAAAAAAAAAAATCGAAAAAGTGATGAGAATCAGAGATATCATCGCTACTATACAATTTATCCTTTATTAACATAAATGTATTATACACACAGTAGTAAACAGTGCAAAACAAACAGTAAACAGGGCTAAACAAGCACATGCATGCACACACGTACATGCACACGACGTTACGCACACGCAGGCATTCAACACCCCGAGTAACCGATTGTAACCGATTGTAACCGATCATCGGTTACTTGGGTCCAACCGATGATCGATTACGAAATTACAACCGATTGACAACACTAGTTCTGACCCTATACAAAAAGAGTGTTGACCATGTTATTAGCGATCAAATGGAAATCTCCCAAACTACATTCAAAGGCCATCAAGTTGCTGAGGCGATACATTGTTCCCCCATGATAGCTGTAGAAAGCCAATAGATTGTGAAGGCGGGGAAGAGGCACATAATGTCATACCTTTGTGCTAACCCACAATCTAGTCACCAGCTGGTAATTTCATTTCAGTGCTTCCGGAACAGTCTACACGGCAATCGAAACGGCCACAGGCATGGAGGTTGCCATCAAGCAGATGAATCTCTCACAGCAGCCCAAGAAGGAGCTGATCATCAACGAGATACTCGTCATGAGAGAGAACAAGAACCCCAACATAGTCAACTATCTAGACAGCTACCTCGTAGGGGAGGAGCTATGGGTGAGCGTCACTGGTCAACATATCTGCTTCATAGTTGCTTTGTGCTACTATCGGTTCTTAGTATTCTGTGCCGCTTTTGATTAATAGAACCACGTTAATATGATAGGGATGAGTAGCCATGTTGTTATGGATGTCGTAATGTTAAGACAAAATTTTTTCTAGGATTTTGCATTCTCATAACTTTGGGATGGTTCTGTCAACGGTCTACGAGTCGAAGTTAATGTTAAGACTAATTTTGTTTTTGGCAACGGGCCCTGATTATTATGCTATTCTTCTCAGCATCTTATATGTATGCCCAGCTGTTTTTACGTGTTGAGAATTCAGTGGTTGTGTGTAGATTTGCTGTGAGAATTTTCGGATGGTACTGATCATTGGGATCATTCTGCCTTCGTTGTTATAGGTCGTCATGGAATATCTAGCCGGCGGCTCACTGACAGACGTCGTCACGGAAACGTGCATGGACGAGGGTCAGATCGCGGCCGTCTGCCGTGAGGTGCTGCAGGCACTGGAGTTTCTCCATGACAACCAGGTTATACACAGGGATATCAAGAGTGACAACATCCTGCTCGGAATGGATGGTGGCGTGAAACTAAGTACGTGGCTCACATGCTCCCGATAATTGATTCGAGGGAAGGTGGGTTGAAGCTATGTGTGTGGCATTTTATAGCGAATGTGGCTGGTGGGTCAAGCTATGTAGCAGAGATGCTGCCTAGAAATGGTTGGTAGGGTCAAATTATGTAAATGGGTGACATGCTACTGAGAATGGTTGATGAGGTTAAACGGAGTACGTGGCTGACATGCTATTGAGAATGGATTAAAGGGGACGTGGGGTTAAGCTGTGTGGATTGTATGCAACAGAAAGCAGATGGTGAGTTCAAGCTATATAAGCGACAAGTGTGGTGCAATTAACCCACGCACGTAACTGATGTGGTCGTGGCACTAAAATTATATGTTGCCTGCAAGCGCAAATTGAATACATTTACATTTTTGTTACAAGCTTATAGCATAAAAAGCAAGATAATATATATATTGAGAATATAATATATATATATATATATATACAACTGCCAGCGGGTTAAAAATGGGAAACCGACAAGTTGTTTGACACATGGTTTCACATTACTTTTATCGACTTGCTGGGTTCTAAAAATAATAGTAGAAGTGGCTTACTACACGTGCGTGTTCACCTCACAAAAATGTGAATGTTGCAATGCTATACGTACAGCAATAGACAATAATTATAAAAAAGTTTTCTGGGCAATCTTTTCCTAAATTATGCTTTGGCGAAATACTAGCAATTATTCACTATTATAGGATTTTTATTTGTGTCATTGCCACCATGATCGTTTTGGAAACATAGGCCTATTGCGAGACTGAATCTCCTCTTCATTATAGTTGTTAACCCCTGTTCTAATTTTTCTGTGCTTCGCTTTTAGCTGACTTTGGCTTTTGTGCACAAATATCGCCTGAGCAGAGCAAGCGAACCACAATGGTTGGCACTCCATATTGGATGGCCCCAGAGGTGGTCACTCGTAAACAGTACGGACCAAAGGTTGACATATGGAGTTTGGGTATAATGGCGATTGAGATGATTGAGGGCGAACCACCATATCTGAATGAGAATCCATTACGAGTAAGTTCTTACCTGTACTGGCAATAGAAATGTCATGCTCGTAATTGTAGAATTGTATTTCATTGGACACTAGTAAAAGGTATTGAACACCCTTTATTCACTCTTTTTAAAGTCAGCCACAGCTTTAGGAGATCAGGTCCATGTTACATTAGTGGCCACTATAAATAAATCGTCTAGATTTGTAACATAAGCTTGTCAGTACTTTACATGTGATAACCACTGGACTAACATTAGTAGCAGTTAGCAGTTAGCACCAGTTGTGCGATTGTCACTTTGGGAGGCTTTAATTAACCCCCTGCTTTATGGAGTATTAATATCTCTGTTTATTTTTAGGCACTGTATCTTATTGCAACAAATGGAAAGCCAGATATCCAGCACAAGGAAAAACTATCGCCAGTGTTCCAGGACTTTTTGGACAGGTGTCTGGAAGTGGATGTTGACAGGCGATGGGGTGCTTGTGACCTTCTGTTGGTGAGTTGACTTACAGAAAGTCACAAAGTCCATGTTTTATCCATTAATTCCAGTTCGTAGTGACATCTTTAATCTTTGTTGTATATTGTATGCAGAATTTTATCCTATTTACTCATAACCATACTAAACTGATAATAGAGTCCTTTCTTGGTAAGTGTGTACTGTGGTTACCAGTGTTCGAAATAAGGGCTATCTGTTTGTCCTCACTTGTCCATTTCCACGGAGGACAAGTAGACCTGTCCAGTAGCTTGTCCGCTGGACAAGCAGCTTTTCAGAACAACTTTTTAGAGCAATTTTTCATCATTTTCTACCATTGCTGGTCAGAAAGTCAGAGTCAGGACTGACCATGTATTGTTATTATAAAACTTTGAAGCTTCAACTTTGTTAAGACAAGTAATAACTTAAATAAATAATAATTGTGCTTCTTTATGTTCTTTCAAGCTTGGTGCCTAATTTGAACTTTTATAATGAACTGCATTAAAATTACAAAGTAAGATATTAGGTCTAAAATTTAATTTGATTAAAAATTTATTACACCATTGCTATATTTCTATGTTATTAATCAGGATAAGCAAAAATTTTGCAGGACAAGCAGAATTTTTCCCTTATTTCGAACACTGGTTAAGTAACTAATTTTAATTTCCTTGTCACTCAGCTAATTATTGGTATTATATCTGCAGCACCCATTCCTGAAGCTGGCAAAGCCTCTAGCCAGTCTTACACCACTGATTCTGGCTGCCAAAGAAGCTGCGAAGAGCCATTCGTAATATACACAACGAGGTAACATCCGTGGTTGGGTGCTGCCATCTGGTGCACGTGATGGATATAAAGGAACATGACCTGCACGCATTTGAATTGAAATCTTAGTGTTGTAGTCTACTTCAGTATGCGCCGGTCTACCGGTCCTCTTTGCTGTGCATGTGCACAGCTATCTGTCATTTGAGCAAGTGACACAGCGTGATATAGAAATTAACGGCAGAACTGCAGCATGACAGGTATTGCAGCTAGATGTATAAAGTGGCATACAATGCAGCAGTTTGTGAGTAGAAGTCGAAATCCAACGTGCAGTTAACAAATGTAATATCATTAGCGTAGCGTGATCCGTGCTTCTGTAACTTGTTATAGATAGTAACAACCCCCTGAAATCCTGAGCTTCACACCCTGCCAATTGTAGGTCTTTGTAGGCTGTGGAAATGCGTGATTTAGCTGCGTTTGTAGCATGTGCACAAACGATGAAGACTTCGGTTTCACGTGAATGTGTACATTGGTGAATGTAGGTAGTAGTGATGCGTTCCATGTTTTGGCTCAAAACCCATACACACTGTGTCGTCATCTACCACGGATGTGATTACCTCGATCGTATGTATGACATACTGACGGCTTCATTTTAATGTCAGGCACATTTTCTTGCAACATATACATTGCTTACAAGAACGACTTCAATTGTCGGAAAAGAAACGTTTATACATTTTATACGTAAGCTTTTTATAGAGCAAATTTTGCTTCTGAAATCTTATTTTTAACAACTCGTTCATTTCTGCCAGTATATGTATATTTTAAAATGGTTTGCATACTGGCATGGCTGTACCAAAGATTGTTGAAGGTTATTGTGCACGTTGTATCATGGTTGTTGTCATTGTGGCTGTTTGCATCGAGTTTGAATGGCGTGCTTTTTTATATTTTAAAACTTGCACATTGCGTTTGTATCGATGTGATTGAAGAGGTAGGGTTGTAAACAGCATGAGTAATGATGGAATCTTTGTAGCACGTTTATTTTTTATATTAAGTGATACGGTTGGTTGGTATTTTATTGTGCGCACGTACCGTCTATTTCATTCGCTGTTGGCTTAAAATTCTGCACATTGGTTTAACGCTTTCGATGAGTCTATATAGAGAACAATGCAGGAGTCGGTCACTATAATCTATTCACTTGGTAATTGCAAGAACCACTATGCCTTCAAACTGTGGTCAGTTATATCCTTTGTGAGCAGTGATATTGCTTGGACGGTGTTGATGTTGTTCTAGACCAGTGGCTTTTTATACAATTTTATCAAGAGGGTGTATACATTTTATTCGACTGATCATATCCTTGTGGCTCTGCGATGTTTAGCATGTTATTGTTATTGCAGGTTGTGTTTGTCAGAACCGCGAGTCGATGCATGAATTCCTTTGTTGCTTTTGCTAGGCTTGGGCAATACACATTTAAAATATCACAGGCTTTTACTGGACATTCTTGAAATTAAGTCTAACAAGCTCCGTTTCCATTGCCCTTGAAGCCTATGGTTGAGTAAGCCTCTTTGTGGATAGGATATATTGGATCTTTACAGGAAGAATCCTTATGCATGAATGGTAATTAGTTATAGCGATATCACCAGGAGTGGATTTTAGTCTGTCAGTTATTCGTGATATCATGAGCTAGTGTCCACCTCAAGAGGTTAGTTCCCTCCCATTACTAATATTACTACGTGAGAAAGTAGCCCCCATTTTGTTTAGCTCTTCTTTTTTCATTCAGTATTACATGCAACCAATGTCCATCTTACAGTTTGATTGCAGGTCATATTCTTATGGGCGGGCCTTCTCACATTTTCCCCTAGCAAGTCGATCGTAACGTGAGCCTTCGTGATTTGTAAATGTACTTACTTCACAAGATTTCGAGCTGTCCTTTTGCACTGATTATGGTCCTGTTTGTATATCGGCTGGTTGTGAACCAATAATGGTGCCACGCACCAAAATTTTGGGTAAGGTAGAAAACATTTAGAATCGGAGTCATGATCTTGTAAAAAAGCATCGCACGTGCTTTTGTTTTGCATTGGAATATCATTGTGATAGTTTGATATTATTGTTTTATGTGTATCGTGATTAAATTATTATCTTTTCTTATATGCTCCCAATAATGTCTAGGTTTCTATCCATATTAGATTATGTACGCGTAATCACATGTAATCAATCTCCACATTTTACTTTCAAGTGTGGTGTGATGTCATGTATGCTAGTAGATAATATAGAACTTAAGAATGCCATATAATATAGCCGCAAAATGCCATTGCTGGTGTACTTTTGAAATCGTAGTGGCCGATTTTGAGTATCGTCTATGCCAAGTAGAAGTTTTTTGTAATTTAAGCGATTTTTAATAAACAAAATAATATGTAAAATAAAATTCGACATTTTTTCTCATATTCTTTGCAATTAGTTTTGCGTCCAGGCTACGTCTATTCATGAAGTAGCATTACCACAGCAGTAATGCATCCAGAGGCTACCACAATTAAATCACGAGGAATCAGATGATTTCATGTCGTTTCTCATGCATAATGGCCCAGCGTATGCCGGACGTATCAAAATTTCTCTAAAACGCTGGCATACGCTGAACTATCGATGTTTTTTCAATTTTGGGCGTATACATAGCGTATTCATAACGGGTTGGACGTATACTTAACGTATTAGTAATGTATATAGAACGTTTCGATAACTTGTAGATAACTTATACCAACGAATGCTTAGCGTGTTGCCGGCGTTCACAACTTATGCCCAACGATAGTCTAACTTATTGCATATAGTCTTATTATATTATTACATATACAACTTATACTTATACATATACAACTTATATATTATTATATATACAACTTATTGCATATAACTTATTGCATATAGTCTAACTTATGCATAGCGCGCGGCAGCGTATCGCCGACGATCACGTGTCGTAGCCTATAAAAAGGCTGCCGCTCGACGATTCAAATAAAACCGCACTAGACTCGCAGTATCAACATCAGCCTGTCGCAGTATCAACATGTCAATAGCATTTTTATATACCAATTCCCCTAAACGCTGCCAATCGCGCATTATACGGTACTGTAAGTTAGAAACGAAGTTCAGTGAGTTCTGTGGTCGTCCGGAACACGTCAAATACGTCTACATACGTCAATATGCGTTGGAGATAAGTTACACATAGGTTCAAAGCACGTACGTTACTCATAGGTTAGAAATAAGTTTTGGGTACGCTAGACATTATCTCGACGTGTTTCGACTTATGAGTAACTTACAAGTAACGTGTGTGAACGTGTGTCAACGATCGCATAACTTACCTACAACTTATGACCCGCGTATGCGGGACGTATGGGCATACGCTGGCATACGTCGCAAAATTTTGAGCAGGCTCAAAATTTTTCGACGATCTCGCCGTACTACGACGTATACCAGCGTGCTTCAGCGTGCTTCAGTGTGCTCTTAACTTATACAAAGCTTACCCATAACTTATTCGACGTACGCCAGCGTATTCACCAAATTTTGGATACGTCCGGCATACGCTGGCTAAATCGTCAATGTGTGACAGGGCCATTACAGTGCACTAGGTTCGCACGTGGCGATAATACAATACAATGAAAAATGGTTACTCCTTGTATTTCGTGGTGCCGGTGGTCTTGTCTCCCACCCATGATACGCCATTCGACCGTACAGTACGTATGCTGCATTGCATCTGTGCCGTTGTAATGCTACAGTCTTCGCGTGTGCACGTACACGTGCGTGCGTGCGTGCGTGCGTGTGCACGTGCACGTTCGTGCGTGTGTGCGTGCGTGTGCACGTACACGTGCGTTCGTGCGTGGGTGTGCACGTACACGTGCGTGCGTTCGTGCGTGCGTGTGCACGTACACGTGCGCGCCTGCGTGCGTGCGTGTGCACGTACACGTGCGTGCGTGCGCGCTAGTACACGTACACGTGCGGGCGTGCGTGCGTGTGCACGTACACGTGCTGGCGTGCGTGCGTGTGCACGTACACGTGCATGCATGCGTGCGTGTACACGTACACGTAGGCGTGCGTGCGTGTGCACGTACACGTGCATGCATGCGTGCGTGTACACGTACACGTACACGTGCGGGCGTGCGTGCGTGTGCACGTACACGTGCGTGCGTGCGTGCGTGCGTGCGTGCGCGTGTGTGCACGTACACGCGCGTGCGTGCGTGTGTGCACGTACACGCGCGTGCGTGCGTGTGTGCACGTACACGCGCGTGCGTGCGTGTGTGCACGTACACGCGCGTGCGTGCGTGCGTGTGTGCGTGCGTATGCACGTACACGTGCGTGTGTGCGTGCGTGCACGTGCACGTAGAAGTGCGTGTGTGCGTGCGTGTGTGCGTGCGTGTGCACGGACACGTGCGGGCGTGCGTGCGCGCGTGTGCACGTACACGTGCGTGCGTGCGCGCGTGTGCACGTACACGTGCGTGTGTGCGTGCGTGCGTGAGTGTGTGCGTGCGTGTGCACGTACACGTGCGAGCGTGCGTACGTGCCTGCGTGTGCATGTACGCGTGCGCGTGCGCGTGCGCGTGCCGCGTGCTACCTACTCAGACAACATTTGGCTAGGCACATGCTCAGACAAAATTTCTGTTGCCATTCGCTAAACCTCATCATGGCAAACAGTGTTAGGAAAACAGTGTCACGCACTTTCTTTATAATACTGCTCACATTTATAATATTAATGTGTTTGTATCAATTTAGACGCTCTTCAATTTACTATCCTCATCAACTTCATAAATTTGGACACATTTGGAATGTATATCTCAAGCGAAATAGGCAAGTACTAGCAAGTATCTATATAATAATTTTTCGTACTTCATTCCTACGCATCAGGTTCGATTCGAACACTTTGCTTTTTGTTATTTATTGGGTTAAATGTTTAAAATAAACATATTTAGAAAATCTAATGGAAAATCTCCCTAGAAACATGCACGATTCAGTTCACTTCCACGAGGTGCGCTGGCTGTAGACTTACAGGGGTGTTGCTATCGCACCCGGCAGTTAGATGCGATATGATATGACTACTAGGCACTTAGGATATGACTACTAGGCACTTAAAAAAAAAAAACCCTAACCTAACCTAAACCCTAAACCTAACCTAAACCCTAAACCTAACCTAAACCCTAAACCTAACCTAAACCCTAACCCTAACCCTAATAAAAAAAAAATTTAAATTAAAGTGCCTAGTAGTCATATCATATCGCATCTTTCTGTCCTTTGCGTTGCTATCCCCCGGGCGTGGAGGGAGGTCACGTGATAACGTTGACGATGACGTTCAAAAATTTAACCCTAACGGTAACCCTCACTCCAACACCGCCAACACTAACTCTCCCACTAAATATATATGTGTCGCCGCGCTATATATAGGCGTTGTGATCCACAAAAATTTATCTATGGTGTGGGGACAGATATCATGATGCAAAAACCCTAACCCTAATCCTAATCCTAACCCTAACCCTAACCCTAACCCTAACCCTAATCCTAATCCTAACCCTAACCCTAATCCTAACCCTAATCCTAACCCTAAACCTAACCCTAACCCTAATCCTAACCCTAATCCTAACCCTAACCCTAACCCTAACCCTAATCCTGACCCTAACCCGAATCCTAACACTATCTCAACACTAGTGCTGCCACGTTGCGGTCACCTCCCTCCACGCCCGGGAGATAGCATTACCCGACTTACAGCTGTTGCATGTTACAAACAGCTGGCTGTTTGCTGTTACAAACTGCTGTTTGTAACAGAAGCTTATTGTTACAAAAAGCTGTTTGCTGTTACTGTTACTGCTGGCTGTTTGCTGCAGCTGGCTGTTGCATGTTACAAACATGCAACCACGCTGTGACGCAACCACAGGCTTAGGGCAAGGGATACAGTAAGGGCAGAGCACTTAAATCAACGATAAAGTGATTGTAAGCTGATAAGTAAGTTGATTGTAAGTTGATAAGTTGATTTAAGTGCTCTGGTAAGGCACGTCCACAGGCAAGGGATACAGTAGTCTGTCACGTAACCTTGCAGTGGATTCGCCAGGGCACACACGCTGGCTGTGGAATCAAGTCCTCCCCCACCTGCACGCTCGCACTCAGCGCATATCTATCTATCAATCTATCTATTTTTCTATCTATCTATCTATATCTTTATATATATATATATATATATAATATATCTATATATATATATTACATATATATATTATTCCACTTCATGCAGAATGTGAAGCTGTGACCTTGACTTTGCGTGAAAGGCAATTAACATCAATAGGGTTCCACCCCCCCCCCCCGCCTAAGGTCCCCGTTCGTGGACCAAGTTTGAGAGTTTGCTACCTTACACGGTTGCGAAAGACATATCGAGCCAGACAGCACACAGCACACACACAGCACGCACAACGTACACACGTACACGCACGACCACACGCACCACCATCAACGCAGCAGCAGCACCGGCACACGCACACGCACACAGGGCGCCGACCACGTAACACGGCACCACACGGCACACGCACACGCACGACGCGGCACCCACGACACACCACACCAGCAACACTCCACAAGACCACGCCACCAACCATCAGCAACACAAAGGCGCTGAAAACAATACGTTCCGCTACACTACCGTGCGGAAGGATATAAACATTACTGCGAAGCGTTTTGCCTAATTTTCCCCAAGAATCATTATTATAGTCAAACCCGCGTTAGTGAAGACTGCACGGCCAAAGAAAAAATAATTGTATTAAGCGGTTTTGTATTAAACCACTTCAGCATATATTAGCCCGACTTAACAAAGAAAAAATTATGGATACAAGGTGCTGTACAAGGTATTTATAATAGGTTTATTAATGTATAATTAATGAACTTTTAGTAGCGTTAACATTGTTCACAAATAGATCCATTACTTCAAAGGCGCTTAAACTCCCCATTAATTACTAAATATTTCATTACTACAGTCGCAACCCCGTAAAATAGTACGAAACTGACGGTCCAAAGAAAAATAATCGTATTAAGCGGGTTCCATAATATATATTAGCCTTAAGGGTTGAAGAGAAACAACACATGGATTAGAAGGTGTGGTACAAAGTGAATTTATATAGAANTCGCCGGTTCTGTCGACAAAAATCGCCACGTGTGCGCCGGGCTTAAGGGCCACATGTACAAAGTCCACGGGCACACGCGCTGGCTGTGGAATCAAGTCCTCACCCACCTGCACGCTGCCGGAAGCGGCCATTTCGCGAGTAGTAATAATAATAGTAATAAGTCATGATCGTAAATATAGGTGACAATAATTAAACGTTAATCGTAATTTATTACAAACACTGTATGCAATGTTGTACAAGACTGGGATCTGTGTCTGCGATCCCTCAACTTGCCAGTTTCTCAAAGCTATTTCGTGTGCTTTGTAAACAAGCGGACTTTTTGCGATTCATACTTTTCGCACTGATATTATTTCCAGAAGGTATGAGATTTTCTCGCTGACAATATGTTTAAAAGTATTTGCGACGATGGAGCTATTTATATCGATTTTATCATTCATAGGGTAGTATTTAAATTGACTACGTCACGAATTTTCTATGGTGTATATTTGTAAAATTTTTGTTGCAATTTTTTTTACTTGAAAAGTAAGTACTAACGGCACTAAATGTATCCTCAAATTCTTACCTGATAAGATTGTTTTTCAACTAGTTAAAAATCCAAAATTCGGGGCGATTTGATATATTGATCATGTAATAGCTTTCTATGGGCTATGTATGAGTAACGAGGGTTTACTCACATCAAATGGAATAGCAAAATAGGAAGTATAATGCAGCAATTTAACTATCAAAGCGAACAGAATCACTTGCATTTTGTGAAAAAGTGGACATGATTTTTTTTACTTTTACTATTTACGGTTTGCTACAGCTACCGTGGAGTTCATATAGTGCGCGTTTTGATAGATTGCGCATTTTTAAGAGCACGTACGTGCGATTCGCCTCATTGTGCGAGCTTCTGTGCGTCATACTAGTTTACCTGCGCGTTTTGCAGTAAGTATATTGTAGACACGTGATTAGCGCTACCTTGTTTAAGAGGTTACCTTTCTCGATCGGTGTCTTCTAACAAGAGCCTCGAGAAGCGATGGCTTCCACCTTATATACGCCACGCCCCTTTTTCCTACGTCACCTCTCGTTATAGCTCCCTTCTCCGCTTCCTCCGGCCAACTGGACATACCAAATACGGGAATGCAGTCCTATACCTTCTCCATTACTCAGAGCGAATGCTACGGATATGCATGTCTTCGCTCTCGGCTCGTACTTGGCCGAATTCCATGATGCCATTCCTGGCCTGATGTCATAGGTCATCTGGTCAGCGTCTAGGTTGTCACCAGGCGTAATGCCCGAGGAAACCTTAGCCTCGCGTTCGACCATTGCTTACTCTCGTACGTGCTCGACTGGCTCGCGTAGCGTCCATTCTC